AAGAGGATTTTATTCTATCCTCTTCGTTATTCCAAAGACATCAGGAGGGTGGAGAGCAATATTGGACCTGAAGGGCCTGAATCATTTCATAAAGTACAGGAAGTTCAAGATGCACTCATTGAAATCCATCCTAGCCAGCGTCAGGGAGGACGATCTATTATCCTCAATAGATCTCACAGAGGCGTACCTACACATTCCCATCCATCCCAGCTACCGGAAATTCCTCAGATTTACCTACGCGGGCCGGCATTACCAATACAGGGCCTTACCCTTCGGACTATCTTCAGCACCAAGGGTATTTACCAAGACCCTAGCTGTAATAGCAGCCCATCTCAGGCTGATGCCGGTTCGCGTACAGTTTTATCTGGACGACATCTTGATTCAGTCCAGATCTCAGGAACAAGCAAGGGCAGATCTCAAGACCACAATCCGAACCCTACAGGGGCATGGATTCTCGGTCAATTTAAGCAAGAGCCACCTCATCCCCTCAAGGAGGCTGCAACACCTAGGAGCGGTGATAGACACGTCACAGTGCAGGGTATACCTTTCCCAGGAGCGACGGATCAGCATATCCAAGCTGATTCACCAAATTCAAAAGATCAAGAGAGTGCCCTTGATACAGCTCTCGAAGCTCCTGGGAAAGATGATATCTTGCATGGGCATCATCCCATGGGCAAGGCTCCACTCAAGGGAGTTGCAGTGGTTCCTCCTACCCTACCAGAGGAGGAACCTCAGCACTTCCAACAGGAAAGTGCTGGTACCAGCACAGGTGATGAGATCACTAAAATGGTGGCTATCCCCAACGACACTCAGGGGGAGCATATTCAGGGAACCGAACAGGGTCACACTCACGACGGACGCGAGCCTGTTCGGTTGGGGAGCGCACCTGGGAAGCCAGATAGCACAGGGCCAGTGGGGACAGAAGGACCTGTCACACAGCATCAACTGGCTAGAGCTCCGGGCCATCCACCTGGCCCTTCGTCATTTCTCACACCTAGTAACAAGGAGGCACGTCCTCGTACTAACAGACAACGTAGCAGCCAAGGCACATGTAAACAAGGAGGGAGGAACGCGATCAGCGGAACTAATGAAAGAGGCATTGGCTCTGGCTCGGTGGGCAGAAACCAATGTGAGTTCCATCAGAGCGGAACACATCTCAGGAGAGACAAACACCCAGGCAGACTCCCTGAGCAGAGCCAGGGTGGACCAGTCGGAATGGCGTCTGGATCCGGCTCTGTTCGAGGAGATCTCCCGGAGATTCGGACAACCACATCTAGATCTATTTGCCAATCACAAGAACACACAACTCCCCAGGTTCTTCTCCAGATTCCCGTCCCCGGGATCGGAGGGAACGGATGCTCTCAGGTGTCAGTGGCCGGCGCAACTCCTGTACGCCTTCCCACCGCTGCCCTTAATACCGGCGACCATACGCAAGCTGATTCTGGAAGGCGCAGAGATAGTCTGCATTGCCCCTCACTGGCCACGGCGCCCGTGGTTTGCCAACCTCTTAGACCTCTCGATCTCACCTCCGTGGAAGATTCCCCCGGACAGGGCAAAACTCAGTCAGGGCAAGCTTGTGCATCCAGAACCCCAGTGGCTACAACTAGCCGCTTGGCATTTGAGCGGCAAAGCTTAACCAAACAATCTTATTCGGCAGGCGTGATATCGATCATACAGGCATCACGAAGAGCGTCCACTAACAGGATTTACGACGCTACATGGAAAGGGTTTTGTAGGTGGTGCGCTTTCTTTCGCCTAGACCCGACCGCAGTATCTATCCCTAATATCCTAGATTACCTATTGGAGGGTCTTAATAAGGGCCTATCAGTCAACACCATCCGCAGGCAGATATCGGCCCTCTCAACCGTACTCTCCTGCGACAACTTAACCTCCCTAGCGCATCATCCAGCGGTTAATGCCTTTTTAAAAGGGGCAACTAACACAAAACCCCCTGTCATACACAGGTACCCGTCTTGGAACCTGCCTAAGGTCCTTCTAGCCTTAACATCAGCACCCTTCGAACCTCTTGAATCATGTTCCCTCCATCACCTATCAATGAAGGTAGCTTTCCTTGTGGCAATCACTTCAGCAAGGAGAATCTCAGAACTAGCAGCACTGTCAGTAAGGAAGGATCTGTGTACCTTCTTCAAAGACAGGGTCGTTCTTAGACCAGACCCGGCCTTCATTCCGAAGGTAAATAGCATCTTTCACAGATCTCAGGAACTGACACTTCCTGATTTCTGTCCAAGACCCAAACATAGGCTAGAACACAGGTGGCACAAGCTGGACGTGCGGAGAGCGCTGTGTTTCTACGTGAAACGCACCTCGGCTTTCCGGAAGACTGAAGCATTATTTGTGTCTTTTCAACCATCAACTATGGGAAAGAAGGTGTCTTCTTCCACCATAGGCAGGTGGATCAGAGCCTGCATAGCGCATGCCTACGCATCGCAGGATTTGCCAGCACCCACTCATGTGACTGCCCACTCAACTCGGAGCGCGGCCACATCTGCGGCGTGGCTAACGCAAGCACCGGTAGAAGAGATTTGCAAGGCCGCAACCTGGTCTTCACCTTCGGTTTTCATTCGGCATTACCGTTTAGACTCCCTAGCGGCAGCAGACGCGGCTTTTGGCAGAAGAGTTCTTCAACAAGTCGTATCTGCTCAGAGTTCGGTAGCCTAGACATTCCCTCCCAGGGGGACATGAGGGCTTTGGTATGTCCCATTCATTGGACTCTACAGCCATCCTGCTGGAGAAGGGGCGTTGTCTTACCTGAACGCCTTTTCTCAGCAGGATGATGTAGAGTCCAAGCCCACCCAGGGGATAGGTCTAGGCAGGGATATAATAAATATATAATAAAGAGCTGCAAGGTTAATTTCAACAAAGTTTCTCGCCTAAGTCAAAACTGGGGTCACACGCAGAGGAAGAGGTGTGGCCGAAGTTTTTACCCAGTCTGCCAGGCAGGAAGGCCGTCATAGAACCCATTCATTGGACTCTACATCATCCTGCTGAGAAAAGGCGTTCAGGTAAGACAACGCCCCATCTAGGAGGCTGGGATTTGGATTCCTGGGAAAAATCTTTTTTTTTTTTTTTTTTTTGCTAAAGTAACAGACTCTTGAAGGCCCACTTAAAGCAGTTTTCCAGATCACTTTAGTGCGATTAAGGAGAATGATTCCAAGTCTCTTTCTCATACTTTCCCATTCCCCTGGGCTAAGGTAGCTCTTTTATGATGGTTCTGTTCTCTCTCCATGTTCAAAGATCCTACTAGACATTGCACAATAGGAATGAGATGAAAGAAACAAGGAAGAGGGAAGGACGGAGTTCCTGTTATCTGTAAACATAAAGCATCCTATTTAAGGGCCTTTCTCCTTAGCAGCCTCACTGGCCATCAATTGCACTCTCCTTTCTCATTACCTACAGTATTTGAACAGGAATGGATTCCAGTTCAGCTTTAGAGGCTACATTAAACTATACATTGCTTCTATGAAATACAAAATGGGAATTTAATTACTTAAAGAGAGAATCCTTTGTTTCAAGGTAGTTCCAAAGGATACCAGTAGATCCCATCTATTTCCAGTTAGGGCTGTAGGAAGGCCACCTAATGTGGTTCAGAGTTCTGTTCAATAAAAAGCCTTATCCAGTCCAGGTCACCCCTGAAGTAAGGACATAAGAACATCATCTCCCCAGAGAGTAGAATGGCATTGACCCTGCTGGGTTTTCAAAAGACCGTGAGACCATTGTTTTGCTAATAAGATGGGGGGGGGACCCAGAAATGCAGTAGAGCCAATCCAGTATTCAATCCATATTGAATGCTATTTCTAGATGTGATTACCTTGGTATGAATTTTGTTAATGTTTATGATGACATTTTGTATGCTCTTGTACTGTCTTGTCTTCTTTTGTTTTAAATTGTAGTATTGTTTGGCTGTTTAACATTGTTTTAACTGTTTGTGAGCCACCCAGAGTCATATATATGGTTGGCTATATAAATTAGATGATTGATAGATAGATAGATTAGATAGATAGATAGGTAGGTAGGTAGGTAGGTAGGTAGGTAGGTAGGCAGGCAGGCAGGCAGGCAGGCAGGCAGGCAGGCAGGCAGGCAGGCAGACAGACTCTGTTCAACCAAGAAAAGAGCCCATTTGGTCCAGTATTCTATGTTATGCAGCAGCCAACTAAGCACATCCAAAAAAATTCACAATCATGATCAGAATGATGATAGTCCTCTTCCACAATTGTTCCCTAACAATTAATGTTTAAGGTATATTGCTTTTGGTTCAGCAATAGGTGAGGTTACTCTATAATAGAGATGGGCAGTTTTAAAATGTGACAAATAAATATACGTATTTTTGGATTTGTGAAATAGATAAGGGGGTGGGGGTTAAGGGAGGAAGTGAATCATGTATGTAATCTTATGGGGGAGAGGGAGATATTATATTCCCCTGTACTTGCTTCAAGGGAGATTGGGAGTCACTTTTTTAACATAGTCGTAAAGTACATAAATAATTTACATATTCTTTGCATATTCATTTTTTATCTCTTCCTTTTTATTTTCTTTCTGCACTTAGTATTTCTTTTTTTCTGATTTTAGTTTGTATTATCATTTAGTATGGTTATTCTTTTTTTAATAAAAAGTTTTTTTCTAAAAAAAGAAATAATATTCAGCTATCAAGGGTGGTATAACTACCCTAACTACTCCTATTTTAATGTAAGCCTCAAATCTTGACAATGGGCAAATGTTATTTTGACTTTGATATTATTCCACCTAAATAAACGTGCATTGCAATTTGGTTTGGTTTATTTTTTTTTTCTTTTCAGAAGGCGATGCTTCTTTTCTTATTCCAGATTTGTTAAAATTCCATAATATAATAGCATGACATCACATTACCATTTAAAAGCTGTTATACTAAAACTGTTCTTCAAAATTAATGCCTTGTATTATAATAATTTTAGCTTGTTTGTCCCATGTAATTAATAACCAATGTATTATGTTTTGTTTTTCAGGTCCTCCAGTAAGTAACACTGAGCTTACTCTTGGTCACAAGTCAACAAAGTTAAGGCATTTATTTTCCTTTCTGTCTCATTTCACAAGAACAGGGCTTTCAGTAGAGGTGTGTCTGGTCCAGAAATTGGAACCAGATGCTGTTTTCTCTTTTGCTCTTTCTCTTTCCCTCTTTCTCTGATGTAGGGGAATAGTAAAAGAGAAAAAAAGTGGTTATTTATTTTTGCCTAAAGGGTTTCGTGCCATTTTGAACTTAGTAAAAGCCTTTCTTTTTCTTTTAAGAATGAGCTTTTGTTGTTGTTGATCTCAACTGTTTAAAAAATATCTTTGTCCTGCTGTTATTTTCATAAATGTTAAATTGTCTTGCTGCATTTCAGTCTCCGCATCTTTGAGAAATAATTACTAGAAATGTTGATTACATACATCCTGTGATTGTCCAGATGAATGAACAACTTTTGTCACTTTAATGCACCTTGTAAATACACTTCCAGCAGATAATGATCTAATCTTCATTCCACTTTCCCTCATACATCTGTTATTTCTTTTTAAATTTGCTATTATTGCATGAACAAAAGGAAATATGGAGGGAAATTGAGAATCACCATAATGATGTACTAAATTACTGTGCCTTGATTCATGTAGCAATGGACACTGAAAAAGAAAATGGGCAGATTCCCAGTGACACAGAAGATGGCAATCTGTATCTTATCAGGTGGCCTGCAAACAATTCTATACAGGAGTAGCTTAAATATTTATCTGTCTCCCATGGAAAGAAGCCCAATGTACTGTACCTTGTTCTACTTCAGTAGCAAGTTTATCTTGTAAATTTATCCAAAAGTACAAGGAAATATATTTGATTAACTGATTGATTTGACTTAAGCTGACTTTTAATCCACAAAATCACATTATGAATATCTAATCCCCAGAGCCCAATTTCAAAAGTAGGATCTCATATCCAATTAACTTGGAGAAAACCACCAGATTACTAGAGCTATTCCACTACTTCTGATCTAGGGTCATGACAGGTGCCACATTCAAACTGCAGATGTTATCAGTTGACAATGCAACTTTTCCTGGTGACTGCTAGACATTAGATTCAGTGCTTTTTAGTGTGGTTTTAATCTATTGCTAAAACATTGTCATGGCATAGTGAAATGACATTGCAGCTACAAATTCTGGGTACAATGATATGAATGAAGCTTTCTGTTCATGGTCCTCTTCTAGATCAGTGGTTCTCAACCTTTCTAATGCTGCGACCCCATAATACAGTTCCCCATGTTGTGGTGACCCCCAACCACTTATACATCACCGGGTGCCAGGGGCGTGGCCAAAGAAAAGGGGGGGAAAATGGTGGACAGCCTTGTTTGGCGACCCCCGTGAAATGGTCATTCGACCCCAAATGGTGTCCTAACCCACAGGTTGAGAACTACTGTTCTAGATCAATTTAAAACTATCCTAAAGATTTAAGGGCAAAACAAGATTGCATCTGCAAAAAAATAGTAAATGGTTTTCAAAAATTTAGTTCAAACCTTTCCTAGCAGGTTGTAGTTGTGATAGGTTGGTGGCAACTAAAGAGTAGCTGAACTGCACTTTTTGCTTTAAATGTTGTAAGTAGTATGGAAGTATTGTTTTTCAGCCAGTTGTGTGTTGAAGGATAGAAGGCAATGATACTTCTCTGAGTATTCTCAGATACATATACTGTATGTAGAATGTGCCTTCCCTAAGCCAGTTCTTGAACTATTTAAACAACTTGCCACCTACTCTGTCTTCCTCACTTAGCAAACATCATATCCTTAATCTTTTCAGGTTGCAGAAAGATGCTCAGGTCAGGTTGCAATACAAAGGGAATGAGAATCTGGAGAACTTACTTCAATCCTATTGGTATAATAAGACAAGACCACTTTATCATCTGGGTGTGTTAGCTAATCTAGGCAGGTAAAAATGGACACAGGTAGTCCTTGACTTATGATCACAATTCAGCCCAAAATTTCCACTGCTAAGTGAGACATTGTTAAGTGAGTTTTGCCCCACTTTATGACCTTTCTTACCAGAGTTATTAAGTGAATCACTGAAGTTGTTAAGTTAGTACATGGTTGTTAAGTGAATCTGGCTTTCCCATTGACTTCGCTTGAGAAGGCCACAAAAGGTCATCACAGGACCCTGGGACACTGCAATCATTATAAATATGACTCACTTTCCAAGTGTCCGAATTTTGATTATATAACCATGGGGATGCTGCAATGGTCGTTAAGTATGAAAAAAAGTGGTAAGTCACTTTTTTCACTGCTGTTGTAACTTCGAACAGTCACTAAACAAACTGTTATAATTGAGGACTACCTGTACAGCCATCAAGTTAATGCAGAGGCTGTTAGCATAGGACAGTTCTCTTATCCATAAATAGGTTTTTCATGGAACTTATAAATAAATATGAAATAAGTGGCCCTTAAGGGGCATCTCAAGTTCGCTGCAGGGATAATAACAAAAGGAAGATTTAACATCAGTAAACACAGCAAACCCTGCTACCCTGGTCTTCGAAATATGTTTTTCTATTAAATGGTATAGATTCAAATATGAAATCTATTGGAAATTTAATTATAAAAAAATATGGTGCTTTAAAATTTAAATTCAATTTTAAAGTTTAAATGGGACATACAGTTTTAAATGGTGTAGAACCTGGAAAACGTGTGAAATGACGTAGACACTATACAAAATGTGACATTTTAATGTTCTTCTCAGGTCCTTTTGAATCAATAGAGATTTTGTATGTGTTAAGATTGGATTGGATTTTCTTATTTCCTGTATTGAAATGTCAATGGACCCAATCTGGAAAGCAATTTGCTGCTTTATGTTGAATATTAAGCATACCAAAGAATACAAACAGAAAGAACTACTTTCATAAAGTTTATGGATCAAAAGAAGGAAAAATGATAAAGGCTAATATCTTTGTTGATACCACATTTTCATTTAAACTGACAATGGAATTTATGAATCAATTGTTTAAGGGATATTTGATAATACAGCAGTCATCTAATTCTGAATCATATAATTTTAAGTTGTTTAGTAATTTTTCCCATTAACTAGTTGGGTATAGTAAAATTAAAATATCAATAAACAAATAAATTTTAAAATATCCTTACTGAATTCAGTTTAACAAGTAGAAATACTTTGGATTAAAATACCATTATTTTTTCCACATGGAGCTGCATATTAAAAATTTTATGTCTGGCTGTAATAGATTGCAATCACATTCTCAACTGTGAAGCAATTATATTTCTTCAATGATTTCAGTTTTTAACTTTCTATATTTCACTATTTAGGTAAGATTTATTTTTCTATGTTTGCCCCATAAATTCTACTTGAAGTAGCTATACCATATTAGAATTGCAAAGGAGCTTTTTCCATCCAGAAAAGGTCTATAAAATTAACTTATTTTCCCTTATAAAACACATTTTCTTTCTAAGGCTTAAATGTATGGCCTGAGAAATTTTCTTTATACTCAAAATATCTCCCCAAACACAACACAATATTTATTGTTAGAAGAACTCTGCATGTAAGATTATTGGGTTTTTTTGTTTGTTTGTTTGTTTTTCTGTCTGTTTAGGAACCAATTACTATATGTACCATATGACAACATGTTACACTGAAAATTCATTCTTCACTCATTATATTACCAGAGACACCTGTTATTTTCTTACTGTCATACATTCGTGTATTCTCTATTAGATTCTATTAGGTGATGCAGTATTTATGGCTGTTATATCATTGGCCATATTCCCTGCAGAATGAGTGTGCTGTCCAAAGTTTTCAAAAAAAAAATTGACTACAGAAGATATTAAAATCACATATTAAGTAAGCAATTTCCACAAATTGAAGACAATATTTACTGTGCCTTTATAGTTTAGCAATGAGCATATCAAAATCATAAAATGCTTAAAATGTTAAGGTAAAGTTAATAGGAAGCTTATGTGTTATCAATTATATACTCAATCTTATTATTTTTATTATTATATTTTATTATTTTATACAGATGGCCCAAATATTGGTTCTCTCACTAGGAGACAAAGAAGGGATATTCCCTCTGAGATGGGTGCTCATCTCTCCATTGAGAAATACCCAGATAAGTAAAACACCTTGACTATTCACTTAAATTGGTTTATTGAGTCAATGTTGTTGCTCCTTTCTTGTAAAGTTTGATTTAGACTTGTTTGCAGCGGTTTGTAGGGGTTGACGCATATCTAGGCTGCAAAAAGTAAGCATAGGTCACAGATGGGTGAGCATAGATAGCAGATGGTTGCAGACTGGCAACAGCTACGCAACCCTCTCTGAACCACAAATGCTTGTGTTCCCTGACCCAGAAGTCTAATTCTCGCCTTAAAGAGAGCAACAACAGTGGTTCATAAACCAATTTAACTGACTAGTCAAAGTTCCAGTTATGTGGCTGTTCCCTCTAATATTTTCATCCAATTTGTTTTTAAATCTTGGTTTCAATTTGTTGTAAATCCAGATTTGTTTCAAATTGGCCACCTATAATGGAGAGAAAGAAAGAGGGAAGGAAGGGTATTTAGTTCCTACTGCTCGTGGCAGATGCTTCAGTCTGCCAACCAGATAACAAACTAGAACAAAGCTCAGTAAAGTTATAGTTGAATAACTTGACTGTGGAGCAAAGCCACTTATAGTGAAATATAATCCTGCATGTTTCCATATTAAAATCGATCATATCCAATCAGAGTCAGCTTCACACAGTAATACATGATGGACTACAGGATGAAATAGGACTGTTGTGGGGAAACTAAAGGTGCCATTATCTAAAAACATTTGAAGTTTAGATTTGTTTAAAGTTTTTACATATATCTGTTTTCCTTTTAGTAGGAAAAATATTTACTTGTAAACGCCATGTATAGGGGATGAGTGAAGTTTGCTGAGGCGTAATGTTTAATTGGTGGTCTTGAGTAGATATCTCTTCTCTATTTCAACTATGTCATATAGGATTGTTACAAGAATTTTAAAAAGAAGATATCCCTGCCATAAATTCCTATGTTTTGTCATTCTGATATAGATTTTGTAGTGGATGAAACCTACAAAGATTCATTTGTCTTCCAGATCAGCTCCTAAATTTTGATATTGACTGTGAACTCTTGCTAATGTTAAGTACCACTGACTGGTCTTATTGTTTTCCTTATTTAATATCACAGGGGCAATCAGGACGAGATGGTTACCCGGTAACTTTATTTTGTAATCTTTCCTGCATACTGTTTATTCCTGCTTAATCCATTTTCACTCTCTATATTTTAGTTGCCCCCTCAAAAGTATCAAACTAATTTATTTTCACCCACTTCAACATTTGTTTATTACCTTTACAGTAGGTCTAGCTGACTTTATTAATATCAATTCAAGATATTTAATTATTATTCAAAGCACTGTACCTACACTACTCTTTATAAAGTTCCCATATGTGTAGGATTCCTAGTAATGTTGGTCTAATAAATGCATGCTAGCGTTAGCATCTGAAAGCTCTTTTTACAGTAGAATGTGAATCCTATTTATTGACTACCACACAGAAGTATTCCTTAAAGTCTCCCTATTGCTCAACCATTATTACTGACATTGCCACTTTCTAGCATATGATAATCTATAATTTATATACTGAAATATGTTATTTGTTGCTCTGTTAGCACGTATGTTGCTAATGTATTCAATTTATGGAATGCATTGAACAGTCATTATGAACACTTATTTGATGTTGGTATGATATAAATGAAGAAGAACAGGAATCTCCACTGGCTATATCAAGTTGTGACCTTTTACATTTTTTACTGGATGATTTTTCAAATGTATTAGCTTTAAGTTCAAACTACATATACTTAGGAATAAGACCCATGAATTCCCAAAAACGTAGTTCTGAGTAGTTAAATCCATCATAAATAGCATCATAACACTTTTCAAAGAGAGAGGATTTCCATACTGACAAATTTCCTTTTCTTTTCTTCATGGCATTATATTTCTTCATGCGTATAATCATGATTTTGTGGTTGTTTTAAACGATGAACAACAGCTTACTTCTCACTTTTTCCCCACCTTATAGCATAGCATAATGAGTGTGGAGGAATCATAAGATTGAACAAACATCTGATAATATTTCTTTTAATCTTTGTATTACAAGCAACAGCATAAGTGACCCATTGCTGCTGTTGTTGGTCTATATCCCCCCTTTGATAACTTTTAGTCAATCACAACTAAAAAATGGTTAGGACTATGAAAATAGCAAAGATTTATTGACATCTCTTAGTGTTGTTACTATCAAAGGCAAAAAAGATATAATGAATATAACAAATAAATCAGTTGACCAACACTGAGAATTTCCTGTTTTAAAAAGACTTAAATATAGAGATACACAAATATATTGAATTGTATACTCAATACAAGAACTTTAGATTCAATTTTTTTTAGAAATGCCCATTTTTAGTCACAATTCCATAAAGTACACAATTCTTAAAAGTCCTAGAATGCATCAAATGGGATATTTAGATTGCTTGATATTAAGTTTATAATCTGACCTTGGTAAGAAAGCAATGCATATTGATACAGTATATTACATTCATTCATAAGCTCATCCTTTGGCATGAAAGCAAATAATAAAGTATTGTTCTTGGCAAATATCAAATGAGATGTTTTGGACAGGAGCCCAGAAGCAGAACTGAAAAATTCTCATCATAAGTCTTTAGCGTTCAGCATGGCTGCAAGATTTTACTTTTTCTTTTGCACAAAAAGACAAAAGTCCTTTAGTATATTTCTTATAAGGGAAGGCAATTATTTAATAATTGTGGTATTTTCCAAGATGACTACATTTTTTTAATGCTTGATAGATTTTCTGTAACTTGCAAAGCTTCATCAATAATATTGGAGTAATTATTCAGTTTTGGGAGCAGCACAAAAAGATATACCCCTTGACTTATTACTGCTAACAAAATAATATAGAGAGTGGATCATCATTCTATTCCATTTCTTATCTTAGTTCTACTTATACTCTTGCTCCTGATACAGTCAAATTATATCATTAGAATTTGCTTATATGTCAACTAACATTGATCCTCATGATTCTAAGTGCATATCAAAAAGAAGTCCCTGTAACTTTATTTCAGGGTCTGTATTGTCTTCACTGTTCATATAACCCATGTTACTCCAGTTGTATTTTCAGAGAAGACAATTCCAATTAAATAAAAGTTACCCTTTAGAGAAAGTAATATTTGATCATATTCCAATTAAGGGAAAGAAAAGGCAGGGAGGCCTGCAGAGCAACTTGCTCATTTAAATCATCTCCCTTGGAAACTTTTACAAATATTTATTAAAGGGATTGTCCCAACAAATAAGCCCCGTCACATTTGGCTATCTGAATATAGCAATATTACATAAAAGAGACATTTGTAAAGCATCAAATACCACATTTGTTATGGATCCCAGAAGTCTGCAGTTAATCACTTAAACCAATCACTATATTTGTTACAATGACCTACCCAAAATATTAATTGTGCTTTGATGTGAATCAACAAGGGTTACAGCCAAAGTGGCAAGTATAGAACAAAATAGATAAAATATTTTCAAAAAGATGAGTTTACATGGATGTATGTTTATATATACAACGTATTTTGGCATGCTGGGATTTAAAATAGCTCTGATACCCTCTAATGAATTCCTGATGCCAACCAATCCCTTTGATTATCTTCAAGTTGGGTAGAAACAGAGAAAATAAATGGCAGAAAAAGACATAGTGGACCATCAATTTTGCCCTTTGAGAGTTTTTATATATTTTTATTTTTGTTGGGTGGTGGACATGTGTTTATTCCAAGCATGTTTAAACTCAGTTACTGATGATTGACACATTTGGATATCTGAGAATGAAAGTCTAGCAGCAAAGTCATAATCTTTGTTTTCTCTAAATACATACATAATGCATATAAGCTAGAAAGAAGGTTGAGAAAGAGAATTTAGAGAGCAAAGAGGAATTTACAAAAAAGTCTAAGTGAAAGGGTCAAAAAAGAAATAAAGCTTAAGAAACCAAACAAATGAAAATGAAATTAGCCCGCAGTCCTGACCTGCAATACTTGTGGCATAAATGAATTCCTGCCTCATTCATAAATTGCAAATAACATCAGAATAAATTGCTTACAGATGTAACTCATATATGGACAATTATAGCGAAATATGGCCATACTCAGTTGAAATTTCTGTGTAAAAAAAAACCAAAGGCAAGCAAGCAAATTTAAAATATTTCTACCTGAAAGCAATCTGGTATGCATCTGCATAAACGTCAGAAGATTAAATTAACAAGTAGCCACACTTCTCTGATGAGTGAGGATAAAGACTTAACAGATTACAAAAAGAGGGTACTACAGAAGGACTTGACAGCAGAAGATAGTCAAACAAAGGAGCAAGCCCAGTGATGGAAATGATAATAAGAAGCAACTGATGTAGAAGATATTCTGCACTGCTGAAACTTTGAAACTTCTTTCTGATCATTGTTGAGGAAACAAATTCTAAGGTCTTCAGGAGAAGAACAGACACAGATATAGGATGGTATATCCCAACACAGGGGATGTGGCTGTGCTCTGCAAGAAGATTAAAAGAGAAGTTCTGGTAATTGAAGTTGGCTGATTGCTAGGAACATAAATCAGGAAAACAACATCGAAGATTTATCTAAAGCATTGATTTAGTTATTCCTTCCTGCGAATTCATGTTTGCAATAGGAAAAAAATGAGTTCAGCCAACAAATCTTACTTATTATTTATATATTATAGAGTCGAACCAACTCCAAATGATTCTAGGCAGCTTACATTTTAAAATCAGGATACAATAAAGATTGACAAGCAAATTGTACTTGTCCAGAAAATAAAATTATATATAGCAACAACAACAAAAACCCTCCAGGGGTTCAACAATCACTCTAACCCAGTGGTTCTCAACCTGTGGGTCGGGACCCCATTTGGGGTCGAACGACCATTTCACGGGGGTCGCCAAACCACACTGTCCGCCATTTTTTCCCCTTTTCCCTAGCTGTCCTACTCCTTATTGGTGGCCACACCCACTTGGGGGTCACCACAACATGGGGAACTGTATTATGGGGTCACGGCATTAGAAAGGTTGAGAACCACTGCTCTAACCAATGATCTGGGAAAGCAGCCAGGTTTTCAGAACATCATTAGGTTGGGACCCACATGAATCTCTAGTGAGTGTGAACACAAGAGTTTCACATTGAATCTGTATCAGTTGGAAACTTACTGGAAACCCTGAAGTAAGAACATCTACTAAAGAGTTATATGCTGTAGAAGGAAAAGGGAATATTCATAGCATGATTAGAGCTGAATGTTTGCTTGTCACTTTTAGCAGAACAATTGTTTCTCAAAGACAGAAACCATGGAGAAGTTTTCTGATTCCTTTAATATTGTACAAGTATATTTGCAAGAATTAAGGAAAAACTGAAGTATTTATAGCAGTTTATCAGACTTTTAAATAGAAAGTATTTTCCTCCTTCTTGCTCTTTCCTTACCTCTTTCCTAGAGCTGTTGCCTTCTAGGGTACTGCACTAAGGTGATTAACTGGCTGATTAAAATTTATTTGAGAAATTGTGGGTAATGGGTGACGTGCCAGATGTTTTGAGGAGAGTAAGTGATTTTATCTTCAAACCCAGGAAAAGACAAGATCCAGACCACTCAGCCTGACTTTGATATATAGGTAAATTCCTGAGGAGATCATAAGGAGATCAGCCTCCTTGAAAATGATGTGGTGAGATAGCGCTGAAGATGTTACCTAGTTTGGTAACAAAAATGTCTGCAAGCAAACAACCAAACTCAGACAAAATCAAGGACTCCCCACATATAGTAGTTGCTAGAAATCAGCATTGATTTTTCAAGAACAAATTTTATGAGTCTTACCCTATTTTTGGATCAGGTAAAATATTTTCGTTTCAGCAAAGTATTTGACAATGACATTTTGTGACATTTTGATTAATAAAATAATATAAGTATAAGTTTGAAGGAATTCAGAGTCTTTAGCCTTAGGAAGAAAAGACTGAGAACAGATATGATAGCACTCCTCAAGTACTTGGAATGTGTCATACAGAAGATGTCAAGACATGTTCCCTAGTATAGAATACAAAAGAGTAAAATTAAGTTACAAGAAGATAATGCCAGTTGAATGTTAAGTGAAAGATAATAAGCATTCATGG